AACATTTTAAAATATAATACGTTTTAATAAAAATAAAATTTTATTAGTGATACTTTTTTAATATTATTTTTTTATATATTCTCTTTTTAATATTTTTTTATTAATAAAATATTAAATAAATATTATTTTTAAAAATATATATTTTTATTTTAAAAAATAAGATCATAAAATATATTTAATAGATTTTATTAATATATAAAATTTTATTTAAAAAATATTTTTTAATTTGAGACAAGGGAATAGATCCAACTACTTTATCTATGGTAAGTACAATAATTATGTTTTAGTTTTCTTCACACGTCTCCTCCTTTTTCCTTCATCCCCAACTTTTCCGTGATTTAATTGTTCATTTTCTCTTCCTATTTATTTTTATTATTTTATTATTTTTTTCTTTTTCTTTTATCCTCTCTCTTTGTTCCCGCTTTTATACGGACTCTTTCCAAACTTCTTTTCCTTCACAATTATTTTTATAGAATCATCGAATTTCACATTTTTTACAAAAAATAATAATAAATTATATATGTATATATTTGATATAAATATCAAATAATAATCATAATATTCTTCTCTCTCCAATTTCGTATACTATAAGTTAATTTCTTAAAGGAATTGATAATTCTTTTTATAATTTATTTTGTATAAAAAGGTATATCAATAATTTTATCCTTTTCTTCCATTTTTACATGAGAAATGATATTTTATAAAACTACTATTCCAATATTAAATAACAGGAATAAATAAATAAAGTTAAATCGTTAAAATTTCTAGATACATTATAACAATAATTTTGTAAAATACTAAATATTTAATTGTTTAAATTTATTTAGTTTAAATTAGATCTAGTAATTAAAATGAAAAAGCAGGAAGGAAGTGGAGGAAATCATTTCTAGTCAATAATACGTCAAAACAAAAAGAAAGAAAGAAAGAAAGAAATTTTCTTCCTTTATTTCCCAACCAAACTCGTTTGGCTTTGAATCGGACCTATCGCCACTCCTATCTATGCCTTTGGATTAAATAAAAACAAGTTGATATAATTAATGATCCGACAAATATAACCCCACATAAACATCATCTTTGAAGACCAAGAAATAATAGAAGGGAAAACTAGGAACATGCATGGACCATAAGTTAAGGTTATTTTGAGAAAAAGGACCAGGGTCTTTCTAGTAAATTAAGGTCAAGTGATAGTTATATAACCTTAATTCATTTGAAGGACCTCGTCCCTTTTTCTAAATAATTTACTTTATTATGATCCTTCTTCCCAATTTCCCCGTAACAGAACCAAGGCGCACAAGTGGTAGACATAGGATTTGGATATAATAAAGGGCCTAGATCGATTAACTCAATGAATATCTCAATTATTATTATTAAATATTTATTAATATTTAAAATTATCAAAATATATTTCTCTCTAAAATTTTAAAAGAATCATCACACACTCATAAAGTACATTATCCCTTCCAAAAATTAAAAATTTAGTATTTTTAAATTATTTTATAACAAAATTTTGTTATAACCGTTTGAAAAATTCCTAAAAAAATTTAAGATCTGACAAGAACTTTAAACTTATTGAATATTTATTAAAATAATAATTTCACTTGATAATTTATTAATATTTACTTGTTTAAAATCTTGGTAAGGTATTAACTTTTTCATAAGTTTTTCATTAATATTCTTCCCTTAATTAAATTAAACAATTATTATCTTGTTATATAGGACACTCATTGAGTAATTAAACTTAAATCCCTCATCACTAGATCCAAATATATATTGTCATGACATTCCTCTAACAAAACATTGTTTATTGAAAAAAAAATTTAGATGAATTAAATCTGAGACTTCAAAAAAATCAGAATATATCTCCAAACTTAAAAATCACTATTAAAATACATATAAATCGCTCGTCACTAAGATTCTTCCATAGGAAAATTTGACCTTGAATTATTAGGATAAAAATACACGTTTTCGCCTCATTTTGCTTTGTTCTTTCCAGCGTTCTAGAAGATGTTATACTGACAGAACAATTAACTGATATTATATCATCAAACACGAATCATACATAACCAGATCAAGAAGATGTTAGATCAATTTAACCAGACATCAAACCCAGATCGACACGAACCAAATCAAACCCTCAAAACAAGACAACATAGTACACCACATTGCCATACATAATCATAAATACATCCAGATCTATACTATCTCATCGTCATCGTCCCATGGCTGTTTGTTGCGCAATCTTCGGAAGTAGTCTCTAGGGTTCTGTTCGAAGGGGTCTCTGTAGATGATCTGGCCATTCCGACCAGGGGCTTTCATGGTTCTTCCTCCTCTTCTTCTTCGGCCCATACATGCACAACAACACTTACAACATTTGTACCCACACACAACAGCCACAACAACAAGAAGAACCATTGCTCCGATCACAGCCGACTTCTTCACGACGTCGTTTTTCCCGGCGGCTTCAAAGGTTTCTTCGAACCACTCCTTGGTGTTCTCGAACCAGCTCTCGCCGATCTCCAGCCAATTGATGTTTTTTAGACTCTCGAACCATTTTTTGATGCTATCAAACCAACTCATGTTTTTTTTTTTCTCCACTGATCTTACACTTCTCACTCTTCTTCTGCTTTGAGACAACTCTTCTTCGAGCGGGTGTTTTTATTTGCAAGAATAAATTTTGTAGTCCTTGTATTTATGCTTATTTCTAATTTAGTCCCTGCCATTTTGAATTTTTTAAAAATTTGTCTATAAATAATACACTTAGTGGCTCTTTAAGAAGTCATTCGTCAATGCTAAAGTCATCGTCACTTTGAAAGCAGGTGGAGTGAGGATGTCCTTTATATTCTTTTCAATATAAAGAAGAGGTTACCAGGAAACTGCCTTTTGCTTGATGAGTTTTCCTTGTCAGAGTCATGACGTGTCGACCTTTCATTGCTTCAATGTTTCCGCCAAGTCCTGATTTTTTTTTCTTTCTTTCTCTTTAAGTGGAATCCATTCAAATTAACCAATAAAAATTGTTCCAGTTTGACTCTTCATCTACAATCCCATATAAAATTTTTTATTAAACTTTTTGATTATAACAAAAAAAAAAACAGAGAGAGCAATTAAACATTTTTCATAACATTCAACATAGTTTGTCAAAAATCAACCAAACGAATTAAAAAATTGAAAAATTTGTTCAAGTTACAAATTCGACAAGTTCAGATTAATTTACTTACATCTTCCTTCTTTAGAAAGTAACTCTCCTGCGGAGACATGCTTCCAGGGAGTGATGTGGAAAAGAGAAAATAATTAAGAAAGAAATTTGTTCAAAAACTAATTTGTAAATTGATATTAAAAGTTCAAATTAAATATCTAATTTGCTCGATGATAAAAAAAAAACATATGGAATTTTCCCTATATTAAAAATAAAAATTAAAAATATTTTGAATATTTAATATTTAAAATATTTATAAAAGTCAAAAGAGTTTAATAAAAATATTAGTAACAAATTTCAACATAATTTAATCTTTATAATTCTATTACTAATATTATAAAAATTAAAATTTCAACATATTATAATTTTAATCTTTAAATATTATAAATATTAAAGGTTCAAAATATTTTTAATCTTTATAATTTTATTTTTTAAAATATAAAGATTAATATTTAAGAGGTTAAAACTATAGAGATTGAATTGTATGAGAAAAAATTTAAAAATTTAAGTTACAATCAAGTTAAAACTTGAATTTTGATTTAGAAGCATTTAGTTATAACTCAATCAAAAATCTCTTTTTGTTTTTGAATTATAACCAATTATTGGATCTTTTGATTTAAAAATTAATAACCTAAAAATATTATTTCAATTGAAAATTTAAAATTCAAATTGTCCCTTTAGACAAAATTTTGAGGTATAATTAGCCTCAAATCCTTATACAATTCATATATGATGACTTTATACAATTTTTAAAACTTTCAAGACCAATCAAAAATTAAGTATATCAATTGCACTTAGTAGAAAGCTTTTAAGGAAGCTTTCCCCTTTAATCCTTTTCTAAGAATCTTTATTCATTTTCAAAAATCTTTAACATATCTTCGAGAAATAATTCTACAAATATCTCAATCATATTCCACCTTTCTTTAAAAGTTTTCAGTAATCTTCAACTAAATTCAATTTTTTTTTTCCAGAATCTTTATCGATCTTCAAAAATCTTTAAGATATCTTGAAGAAAAATTTTCTACATGTAATTTTAATTATCTTCTATTTTTCGTAAAAATCTTCGGTAATTTTCAATTTTCTTCCATGATGCAAAGTTGACAGCACAACGAGGCTATTGCCTTCTACATTGAGAACCTAACCATCAATCATCTCAATTTCTCTTCATAAACAGTTAATATCTTTAATTTGATCAAACTTTTACCACGTCAGCTTTACTTGAATGATAATTTAACTCTGTAAAATTCATTTAAATTAAGGAATTTTCACATGCTCCATGTTCGAGTCCCTCAATTCTCAAATCCGTGTACAGTAACATCGTTTTAAAGAAACATTATAGAAGACACATTCCGGGCCAACATATTCTCAATATTTATTACAAGATAAAAGCTAGCAAGAATGATAATAAAATTTTAAATTTTGAAATCTACAAATCCGGAAAATTTTTTTAAAAAATTAAATTACAAATATTAATTCAAACAGTGATAAACAAAAAATCCCAATTATGTACTGAAAGTTATATTTAACATTTAAATGTCTTATTCATACTAATAATTCTTGAATTTAGAATTATCTAAATTAATATTTATAAACTTATTTTTCAAAAAATTTCATGAAAACCTAACTATCATCAACTTATCATTTCAAAATTCAAAAAATTTCATGAAAACCTAACTACCATCAACTTATTATTTTAAAACTTTACTGTCTTTCTCCTTGAAAACTATTGCTTCTATAACAGACAATTGTAGGATATCAGAGCCCATTTAGTACACGTAATCAATGGAATCAAAAGGAGAATCAAACATGAAAAAATGATTTCATTTATAAAACATTATCCTTTATAGTTATAAACAAGAAAATTTTTTTTAATAAATAATAATACATATATTAATTTTTGTATTAAAGGATAACTTATGAAGGATCTGTGCGTCAAGGCTTGAGCAATAATCCACCATTGTTGCAAACCCAGTGGTGAAAGGAATGCCCCAAAACAACCGGTACCATTAACTCTTCTCTGAATCTTTTCACTGAAACAACTCAAAATGGAAGGCACAAATATTCAATTATATTCATTCTCCATTTTCATCTCTCTCTTTTGCTTCCTTCGCTGGTCACGCAAACCTGAAATGACAACATTGTATTAGATAAACTAAATCCAACAGAACACATATTCCCGATCACAATAAACTAAAAGGGTCGGCTATAAGAAAACTAAAATAATCATCAAAAGACAATACGACAATACGTTTTTTCTCCTCTTTTCTCTTTCGTTTCAAATTCTCGATCCTCTTCCCTGTCATATCCTTGACCTCCATGCGTACCTGTGAGAAGAGAGCGGGGAAAAAAAAAGATAATGAAAGATATAAGCCAAATCTCATTTAATTTAATATAAATAGCAAGCTCAAGGAATTCACAACTTTTTAGGCCAAATAATATGTCGTGCTATTTTTTCAAATGACAAAGTCATATTTCAACTTCTTCATTCACAAACCAAAACAACAATGGATGAGATGAAAGCAATGAAACCCCAAAAGCATAGAGGTTTTCTGGACAGATTGTTAAATAGGCATAATTTACAAAATTTATGCAGATTAAACGAATCAAGAAAAAACAAGTACCACAAGGCTCTAGTTAAAACACACCTTTGACCTGCTAATGTTAATTTTTTATGACCTGATCTAGAAACCAAGCTAAAAAAATTATCTCGTTATTTTGGTCTGGTCCCAATTTTAGGGCTCATTGTATTGTCATGTAAGCTAAATATATCAATAAATATTAGGCTTATAGGAGTGTCATCAAGTTTTGCCCCGCCAACTCCCTGAGAAACTTAAGGGCACACACCCTTACAAAGCTACATCACGAGATAATCAAACATCCAAGAAATGGCACAACATTCTACCTCTTCACCAGCATTCCGCAAAGCTTGAAGCGCTTCTACGCAATCTTGACCAATCACAACCAACTTTCCCTTACCAGTTACTCCTGCACTTCCTTGCTTTTGCCTGGCTAATTGTTGGAACTGTTCCTGCATCAGAGGTGTGATACCCGCCTGGAAAGAGCATCATCTATGTTTTAGAATTTCGTAGATTTGAAAGAGATATAGCATACACACACATATTTATAAGCCGAAAGGAACAGAAACAAAATAACAAAATGAGGTCAACAGTGCAATACCCCAGCTAAATATCGATGTGAAAATTGTTTTGATTGCAAGGGACGTGAAAGAAGCACATTGAGCTCCTGCAATGGTTCATTTAGGACAGAATTAACAATCACAGGAAATGTCACCTAATGGGAAACATATGGGGGAAGGAAAGTAGTGGCCATATATCAGTTCAAGATGGAAAATTATTGAGAATCAGACCTGTTGCAACTTCTTCAAATGAGTAGAGCTGGCTTTCATTTGCCTATATTTCTTAACTCTTTCCTCCTCACTGTCATAATTTTCTGTAACTAACTCCACGGATTCAGCATTCCGCTCAAACCAGCTTTTCTGAGCTTTTTCCTAAAATAAACGGGGAAAAAAGTGCATTGGCATATTAAAAAAAAAATTACATATCTAGCAGGAGTTTGGTGCCCCCGGGGGGGGGGGAGTTGAAGGCTCGAACCAAAATGCAACGTCAAAAGAAAACTATACAGTCATTGTATAGTATCTGAAATTATACCTACACAAGGACAGGGATCTAAAAATATAAGATACGGGTTTGGCAAGGTATTATTATATATTAAAATTCTACAACACACGATAAAACATTAATGTACAAAATTATAATTGACAAGGAAAAGCTTTTGAATGACGGGACACAAGTACCTGTGCTGCTGGCACAAGGCCTCACCTGGTTATTGTGCAATGTGTGGCATGTCCAAAAGATATCAAAAGCTTTATTTATTTGTTCATTTTTAAGTGGAAAGGATGGTAAATGATTACAACCGCCACATGTACCCATATGGGTAAAAATTGAATGATGCTTCAAAGAGTCAGGCAATAGCACTCCTTTGGTGTAAACTCAAGTGAATCTATTTACCTGTGAATCCTTCCGCATTATTTTGTCTATTTGACGGGCAATAGACAACCGCTTTAGAACTTCTGGCATGTATGAATTCTCCAAAGGAAATCGCTGAAAAGTGTCCTATATATGTCAAACAAGAAGTGGAAATGTGAGTGATTCGTCAAGACCAGATGAAGCAGTAAGAATATCCAGTACTTATTTGGTTCAATGGCTAACTTTGCAGCAAGTACATTAATTCCTCCCCCCACCCCAAAAAAAAAAAAAATACATGGATCAACTAAACTCTTAAGAGCCTACTAATACAGTGTTACTATTGAAATACTAGCAGAGAGGTTCAACTACTATTTCTTCAACTAAGATTCTCAAATTTAAAGGATAAGAACAGTACAACTTTCTTTTTCTGAGGGTTTAAAAAAGACCTTGGAAAAGGACTTGCACAGCGAAGCAAACTTTGACGTATCTTTTGGTGAGATTAAAGCAATGCTGCACCCTTCAGCAGAAGCCCTAGCTGTTCTTCCACTTCTATGAACATAAACCTAAAAATAAGAAATAACTTTCAGATGCTAAAACAATCATATCATAAACATATAATACACAAGTGGCTTTGTGGTGCGTATGTATAAATAAGGGTGAAATAAGCCTAATATTAACTAACATCTGCTGAATGTGGAAGCTGATAGTGGACAACTGCTCTAACACCAGGAATATCAAGACCCCTCGCTGCGACATCAGTAGCAACAAGTATGCCATTTTCATCTTCACGAAAGCGATCAATGGCCTGCATTAAATAAGAGAAGAATTTAGAAGTCATATACATATCATGATGAGGCAAACAAAAATCAATTAGAGGTCTGAACTGGAAGGGGACGAATGCTAAAGGGAAAAAGAAAAAAATAGTATATGGATAACTACTGAGTACCAACTGTGAATCCCATGGCTGTGATATTAGTGGCATCGACACATCGTGATATGAGAATGAACATAATTTCCTCATATTTCAAGGCTTACCACAAAACCCATGAACACAACTAATCACTACAGGGAGGAAAATGGGGTAGACTATGAAACATAACGAAAATAACTTCAAAAAGAATCCATCTTCATGTGAAGTATGTATTGTACACTTCTATTAAACACGGTATAACTACCCATTCAAATAAATCCTATAAAAAGTGGGGCAAATATCAGAAAAATCACCCTCTTGTTTAATGCTACTGAACTGACTAGTAGAATAACGGAGCAGGATTATAAGTAAAGTGTCACAGCAGAGACTCAAATTGTTCATTAATTGTCCAGCAAGATGGTACATTTAGTGATGAGTAAGATTTAAGTATTACGTAACAACCTGAAATTTTTCAACTCCTTACAATTCAATCTGATAAGTGTATCCGTTTCACAATCTTTTGCAATCATACTCGTTCTCTATGCATTCTATGTAAATCATCTCAACCTTCCTCACTCAGAACTATTGGATCTAATTTTCTAGTTTACCATTGGTTCTGTCAAACCCTGTTAGCCAACCATTTATCACCTTAACTTTATGACTAAATGGATGATTGTTATTCTAATCATTGACTTATTGTGGGAACCCACAAACCAAATGAAACTCCCATGTTTAGATGTAAATGCTTTCTCATGGTTGCCAAATACCAATTTCTCCACATATACATGGATGAGTTCAAGCATAACCATTCTAAGATTGAGTAGTAAGACATCATGTGCTTAAATAGGAAAAGGCCAAACATATAATGATTTTCTTATCATATGAAATGGATTAGAAACTTGAAGAAAGCAAATTCACAGTTCTAGAAAATAAGTTTCAATCTTAGAAAGAAAAAAAACTTCCTAGCATTTTGAATTCATTACTGATGTTAATTCAAGGGCAATACTAAACCCTCATAAACACTGTAGTTGTGCAGGCTCCCTGCCTTTAATTCGTTCTATACAGGCCCTGATTCATTGACAGCCAATCAGACATCATATCACCAGATGTAACACCATATAACTCTGCATTTGAAAGAGGAGATTGTAGCTGTAACGAGGGGTATACAAACAGCAAAAAAGGATCATACAGCAGGAAGTGTTGTTTGACTCTGTCTATGCCTTCTCTATTGTCTTATTTTTTCTAATTTTGTCCAGTTACTTCTTAAAGCTACAAAATGCGTTTTTCACTATCATGCTTGGGGTCCTATGTATTCATGATGAATTTTACTTAAGCATGTTAAAGGTAATTTTGACGGTACAATACTCATTTGTGGCATTTTTGTAAGTATACCTTTCATTTTGGCAAGGAAAAGTTCATAAACACACTCACACGGTCTTATCTACAACGTTAGGGGAAAGGAAACTCACGCACCATATACCCACATTGGTGTAAAACCTCAAACTCCCCCCCCCCCTCTTTTTTTTTTCTTTTTCTTTTTTCAGGTGGAAGGGGGCAAATAGCACCTCAATCCTGATAACAACCATGATCACTAAGACCTCAAGTGGATCCATATAAAGGAGGCCTTTAATAATTATTGCACCAATCAGCAGAGTCATATTTTTTATATTGCTAAATATACAGTTCTAAAGTAATAGAGACAGACTAAAAGAAAATTATATATTATAGTCATTCAAATCATTTAGCACAACAAAACTTACAAGAAACCATGAATGGAGAAAAGGAAAAGGAAACAAACCTTTAAACGAGCTCGCTGCTGCATTTGAGCATGAAGAGTCCAAGCATTAATGTCAAGAATGCGCAGTAGAGAAGAGATATGGCGCAAAGCTGCAATTGATGTACAGAATACTATTGTGCGGCCTTGTCCATGGACAGTCAAAATATAGTACAGATAAGCATCTTTGTCTTCTTCTTTGCATCTGTATTCCATGACAAATAATTGATGTCACATAAAAAGTTATCAATCATCCAAATGAAGAAACTTCAAACAGAAATTAATATTTGCAATTTCTGAAACTTAAATTCTATACTTCGGCTTAAGATTACTTACTCGATAAATGATTCTTCAAGCTTGGCTGCCAATATTGATGGATTAGTGAGATCAATCACGGCAGCATTGGGTCTCATTCCTGCACGTTCAGACAGGGCTTCAATGGAATTAAATCCATCTAATACTGATTGATTTTGTTTTGTTGAAGCACGCTTTAGCTTCTTGCGAAAATCAGCAGATAGTGCTACTGTTGCCGAAAAAACTAGAGTTTGTCTTTTCTTTCTTTGGTAGCTTGAAATTGTGATGCAATTTTGTGCAGGTTGACGATCATCAGCACCAGAAGTGTTGGACATGGGAAGCATGTCAATTATTGATTGCAACTCTTTAAAATGACCACTTTGTATCATTCGATCGGCCTCATCAAGCACAAAGAACGACAAGGAATGTAACTGCATGAACAAATCATGAAAAGTTAAAAAAATAATTTTCAATTTAAACAACATCTCAAGGACTTCAGCACCAGATTCAAGATACATAATATCATAATTTTTGTCCATGAATATTTATATAAGCCTCTGCTACATGCTTGAACATGAGCAACATAAAGCCCTTTGTGTTTATCATTTATCATCTTCAACAACCATTTCAACCTGAAAGATTCAGACTACGTTTGGATGGATGGCAAGGGTTGGAAGGGTCATCTAGGAGTAAACCCTCAGCTTTGACACACAAAAACACAACACACACACACATGGATGGCATGGAATTGCAAAGAAGGGACTCCAAGTCCAGGACCTTCCTTGCCACTTGAAACCCAAAAGTTTCCATCCATCCAAACATTTGGGGGTTTGAAAGAATGAAAAACTCACTGCTACAACATTCTAGTCATAAAGGTAATAATAGAAAAATAATATAAAAGTCATGCCATTCCATCATCAACTTCCTCCCTTCATTAAATAGAATCACAAATGATTAGAGTACAAGATAATATAAGATAAAGGTAATATAACAGCATTGATCAATACAACATATCAAACCAAGCTTAGAAAAAGCAAAAGAGTAATTATGTTAGGTGTTAAATAAGTGATATGTCAGTCCAAGGATGCCCACATGTTTTGGTATATTCCCAAGTGTTAATCCTGCAGAAGTACAGGCATGCGTAAACATGTCTCAATATTGAAAAGCTATGTGCAAAGTAATGTTAGATGACCCTATCAAGCATAACTAATATAACCAATATGATATGTCTCTTATAATGGAATGCGCCAAATGAGCACGCTTAATAGCAGTTCATGTATTGCATGGTATGGTAGAATTAAAATGCCATCAGCCGATAGCTTATAAATAGGCTTTCTCTTTTGTGCTCTTCACTTGTTAATTGTTCTATATTTTACATAAGAGAGTTTCTTGTTGAAGAATTCAACCTTCTTTGGCACTTTAGTTCCCACCTTGGCAGTAATCTAGTTATTTTTTATTCCAGGAACATTCATAAAATATCCATAACGAAAAGTTCCATCGTGGTAAAACTTCATGAACACAGTATTAGCAATTACCTCAACTAGATGCTTTTCGCCAGCTGACATAAGTTCCCATAACCTCCCAGGAGTGCCAACAATAATCTCAGGCCTTGTTTTTAAGAGTCTTTCCTGTTTTTCGGCCAAAATACCCCCAACTATAGGAGTCACCCTAACGTTGATATATTTGGCTACTGCTTTCAGATGATCAGTGACCTGAAAACAAAATTACATATCGAATAATTTAAATTGACAAATAATATCATCGGGAAAAATTATTTCTATTGGGCAACCAGATAGCATGTCAAACTGTAAAGATCCACTTGAGAACTCAATAATCTGAGAGAAATATATGATTTAGTAAATGTTTTTGCAATACTTATATATTAATACATAAAATAATGTTTATTGTTATATTAAAAAAAAAATACTACATGCCATTTAATGAAAGTCAAAGTAGACATTTAATAAAAAAATATTGCGTGTCACTTAATAGCTGTTTCTAGAACAATATGATTTCATAAGTTAAAGAGATATGTGGAAGTTGTGTACCAGGTAAGATTCTGCACATAGTACTTCAAAAATATCCATCATGATGTGTTTTGGTAAAACAATAAAAAGAACTAGACTATACAAACCAGGGATGCATCTTGGAATTAAGCCATAATAGAAATTTCTCTTCAGGAATTATATGTGTGTGTGTGTGTGTGTGTGTATGAAGAATAAATTATTTGAGGAAGAAAAAGTATCCTCCCAAAGCCAAAGGATGACATGCAGGACGACCAAACAAAAAATAAGAAACTTTGTTTTCTATTTTAAAAAAGAGTTTGGGTGAAATGGGTCTTAGAGGCTTATTTATCAGGGACAAAACAACACAGTTCAGAATATTTACAAAGATACTAAAATTTAAGCATGCAGACAAGCTGCCTAATCTCACCACATATCTGAGATGGACACTCCCTTACAAAAGCCAGCAATAAACTAAATAAAAGCTACAGACATTGTCCTAGTCGATAAGCCATTTGGAGGCTAAAGGCACCCTTGAAAATATGAACATTCTGCTCTGACCAAGTACTCCAAAACAAAGCCATATTTCAATGCCAGATTTTTTATAAGACCAAATTTGAATTTAAATAAACTTGGAAACACTTCCCAATTTTTTTAACATCGTTGAAACTTCCACCCATCTATCATTCATCGATTACTGATACCAAATTTCAAGCAGTATTCTTTCTTGAATGTCGTTGAACATGACGTTTGAATTCATTACTATTTTCTCTGATAATTTATTTTGTCAACCACCACAAAATCATAGTAAATCCATTATTAGCCCCATAACACACTGGTTATCAAAACTAAACAAGAAAGAAAATCACATCCAAGTTCCCTATTCATCCATTTGTGTCCTCCACTTAACATTCAAACACTAAAACTATATAACTGAACAAAAATCCTTGACAAATACCTGAAGTGCAAGTTCCCTAGTTGGAGCAATGATAAGAGCCCTTAGAAGGCCAGTAGGGGCATATTTGTCAGGTTCTTCACCCCTTTGTTCAACCATCTTTGCAGCCTTCTCCCTCTCCTCTAAAAGGCGTTGCAAAATGGGCAAACCAAAAGCAAGAGTTTTCCCAGATCCAGTCTCTGAAGCCCCAACAACATCCTGCCAAAGTGAACAGACAATAATTATCATCAACGCTAAACATTTGAATCAAGTGCACCTAGTTCCCTGAAGAGAAGCCTTGACCAACCTTTCCCTGATGAGCAGCAGCTGGAATACAAGCTTTCTGTATTGGCGTGGGCTCCTTGAACCCCAACTTGTGGATTGCTTTCATGAGCAGAGGATGAAGTCTCAACTCACTCCATGCATAAAATTCCATTTCATCAACGTCCTCTTCCTCATTATCATCCTTCACATCAATAACTTGGTCTGGAAGGTGGAAGCACAAGCTGTGGTTACTGAAACATAGCTTACTCTTGCCCAAGTACTAATGTTCCAAAAATATTTTACATTCCAGAAATTTTGGGATGATATGTATGGGCAGACAACAGGCAACAAAACTTCGAAATTTCTACAGACGCACACAAAATAAAGAGAAAAAACCTGAAACTAAATAACTAAAAAGTTTAACAGGAATCATTCATCAAAATGATAGCGAAATTATCACCCAAAAGAAACATATGTATTTTTCAAGGAAAATGCAAGTAAACCCCCTAAACTTCAGTTATTTGCCAATACACTCCTCAACTTAAATACTAAAAATTAGCCCTTTAAATGTTTACCCTATAGGTCAATATAGCATTTAAAACCTATCCTTTTCCTATTAATGCAATTGCAAATGCCACTTCAAACCCTTTTCCTTGCCGTATGGCATCCTTCCATGGTCTAAAGAGTTCACTTTCTATGCACAAAAAATACAATATAAAATATCTAACAATGTTTACCTTTTTTGCCTAAGGACGCAAAGGGATATATTCACATTTCAAGACTACTTTTTTTTTTCTTTTCTTGTTCATTCCATACAGATTAGACTTGATATAACAAAAACTGACCAAGCAGTGTCACTAAAATGATGCAAGACACGTTTACTAGTGATTTTAGAGCTACGCTGAAGCAAAATGAGAAGGAGGGGCCCATGCAGGGCCATGAGAAATGTCATGTTTATTTGGTAGGCTGTTCAAAACTCTGAACACAAGGAGTCATCGGTGTTAGGGCATGAGACAACAGATGCCAATGATCTTATTGGATTACTGGTCAGCACTCAGAACATAAGGAGGGGTCCCTTAGTATGACAGCCAAAAAGTAGTTAGTGGTAAAATTAGTATAAGAATAAATACTCGAGTAAGGTCTGTGATGAGCCTCTGGATTTGTAAGTATCTGCTGTAACCAAACACCAGAAAAAATGACCAGGGGAAAAAGATAAAATAATCAAGTATAAACCCAAATAAACAAAAGTTAGGCCTAAATAGGGTTGGTAGAGGGGGTGATAGGTTGCTAACGCCCAGGTGACATTCATGGTATAAGGAAAGAATAAGGAACTGGAAGGGCCTCCTACTGTATATACGTTATGCTGAAAATACGGATGAAACACAGAAAACAGAAGACAAAAATCAAGACTGATACTTAATCCTCAAGTATGACTCATGGGTAGTTGCCTTTGAGGACATCATTATCCATTAAGGACGTCATCTAACAAAACTTCATAAACTTCCTATGAAGCTTTGCAGGTTTCCAACAGGAACTATGATAGCATTTGGAACGGACTTCCAATTAACCAAAGTGAACGGGCCCTTGAGTTGTTCAATCAATCTCAATATGTTCATGCACACACAAAAGTACGAATGCATGAATACATATAAGCATAATTTTGGATTAAATATGCATATGATCTGGCACATACCAGCTGCTTCCTTTTTCTTCTTCTTCTTTTCCTTCTTCTTCTTTTCCTTCTTTTTAGTCATCACACTCTCATCCTCGTTTTCTTCAAAATTCACCCCAGCCTCATCATTGAAGGCACCCTCTACTTCACCCAGCTTCTGTTTCTTCAAATCTGCGTTATGTTTAGACTTCTTCTTTCTCTTGTCTTCTTTGGGATCAGGAATCTCTAAACCATACTCAGCTTCATCAATCTCTTCCAGTGAAAGGAAACCTGTATGGGCAATTTTCCCAGGAAAAAAAAAAGAAAGATAAAAAAATTGTAAGTTCAAGAACAAAATTTTCCCATTTTGCATATAAGACTATGCATTGACAGACTTCTTCAGACTATGATTAGCAGAGCACCATAAAGTTCCCAAACTTTCTATAGTTTATGTCTAAATTTTAATCAAGCATTAAACTTCTCCAACTTGCTATGTTCAGCTTCTACCAAACCATAGTTTTAGAACATACTTCCATTAAAAAAAATATCCATTCCCCATAATCTACCTAACCAGGAGCAAAACAAAAAATATACAAAATGCTAAAAATAAATTCAGACCTCCTTCAAGTTCATTTGACCCTACAAGCAAAGAAAAAGAATCTTCATTTTCAGTAAGGGAAGGGTTCCACGACAATGAGTTCAGCCGCTCGAGTTCCGGGTCTACCCGGCTTCGTTTTCTTTTGGGCTTTCTCAAAGAGGTCTCTGGTGGATTGACCTCCATGGGAAGAAAACAAATAGTTGCAGATACCCACCACACGACCAACCAAAGAAAATAGAGTTATATGGATGCTTAACTTTGCTTGCTTTATTTTTCCCAAAATTTGAATCAGCCTGAGCAATAACACCACCAGATATCAATCATCTTATAACCTCTCAGAACAAAAGGGAAGTGAAAGAACAAACAAATGAACAGAAACCAAATTACCAAGCAAGGGCAATCGCTCCTCGCTTCCTCAGCTCAATACAGGGCCCGTTAATGGCGGCCCACTTTGGTGTACGGTGGCAGCGGTCTTAATGCTAAGACTGCGATAAGTGGCAAACGGCGGCGTCGGGAATGGAGGCAAAGCTGAAACTGACGCTTAACGCCTGAGTAGCAACAAGGACTATATCCAGTGAATATGTTCGTGAGAGTTGAGACTCCTCTCGCAGTCGGATGCAATTTTACTTCATCTACCTGCAGTTCATGTTGAAGGGAAATTCGCGGTTCAGTTAAGCTGGGTTGCGCTTGGGCCTGGTTCCGGACAAGGAACGATTGATGGCCTGGTTTGAAATGATCCGAATCCGACCCAATTGATGGCCCAGAAAAAATATTACAATAATAGGAAAAAAGATAAGAATATAGGGTATGTTTAAAATTATTTTTGTTTTATTATTATGAGAAGTTTTGTTTTATAGAGCATGTTCTAAAAATACAAAAATAATAAAAATATATTTTTTTTTCATTCTCTTTTATTTTTTAAAACAATAATCTCTTAACACCTAAAAGATATTTTTTATTTTTTTATTCTTCATAATAATATTTTTTTAAATACTTTTTGAAAACACATTATCAAATATATATTTTTGTTTATTTTTTTAAAGATTAAAAAATTATTCTTAAAATAAATTGCCAAACAAACCCTATAACTTTTGATCCCTATACTTTTAGCATGTTTTGATATTAGTCTTGATATTTTTAAATATAATCTTAAGGACTTAACGATAATTAAAATTTGCATAAACTATGTTACTTGTTATACTGGTTTATTAAAATTATGATGAGTTGTATAAAAAAATGTAGAAGATAAAAAAAATAAGAAAGACATTAAATTATAATCCTTAAACATGCAATGGATGATGTTTCAAAATGAAGAAAACACACAGCAAGGCGTATAGATAGAAAACTTAATAACTATTTTACTATACAATATCTAACTCATCATAATTTTATTAACTTGATTGCTAATAAAATTAAATAGATTTATGTACACATTAGCATATTTAACTTCACGAGTAATGATAATGACAAACATTACAAACATATGAAATCCAAGAGCCTTGGAAAAATGAAATAGAAGTATATGATCTAATACCAAAACATGTCGATAGTTTGAAGACCAAAAGTTTTATTTTCCTTAGAAAAAAAAAAACTAAGTTTTTTTGTAAATAAAGAAGACCAATTTATTATACTAATTTATTTTTCAACAATTAAGATTATATACATAAATATTTTATTCGATAAATTATAAATTGTCTCATTCAATGTACGTATACTAAAATTAAAATCTTAATATCAAGAGTAATATTTATATTAATTTAAAATTATAAATAAATAAAACCAAAAGTTCAAAATCATAAAAAAACTTCATAATAATTATGAGATTATTTTATTACATGATATATATTTATATATATAGAAAAAAATTTAAAAAAAATAATCAATCAATACATACATACATACATACATACATACATATATATATATATATATATATTGAAAAAAATAAATCAATATAAAAGTCCATGGAGATTGGCTTCGTTTTGTTTGTAGTTTTTTTTTCCCCTCCCAAATTAGGCTGACTTGATGCCATCACTAGTACAAAATATAATTTTAACTACATATTTTTCATCACAATTTATAGACAAACTGTGGTAAAATAAGGTAAAGTGGCAAAAATGTAAATAATAAAAAATGTAAGATTTATGGTCATAGGCATACAATTCACTTATCGCGGTAAATGATTTGACAAGCCATTAGACAAATAACATAATTAAAATGAATCATTAATTCAAATTTTAAATTTAAATTGTTAAGAAATATATATATATATATATATATAAATTTAAATTTAAATTATTAAGAAATATATATATATATATATATTTAATGTGTCTCAGTTTAGAATTTAGACATATATATTTTAGTTATTTTTAAAACAGATTATTTTTATTTTTATAAATATTTTATCATAAATATATAAATAAATTTAATTTTTCTAATTTAAGGCATAATAAATATGCCTGAAATCAGAAACCTACAGCGACAGGCCTTCTTAACGCCTGTCGCCGCAAGTATGTATAATTTCAGGCATATTTAATATGCCTGAAATTAGGCAAACTTACGGCAACAGGCTTGATAAATTCCTGTCGCCGTATGTCTAATTCAGGCATTAAATATGCCTCAATTTTGTAAAAAATAATAATGAATTAAAAATTAAAAATTTTACATAAATTTTTTAATTATTTAAATTTTTAATATGTCTGAATCTAGACATATTAAATGTGTCTGAATTCAGACATATTAAATTTACACTATTAATAAAATTAGGATTATTTTAATTTTTAGAAATATTTATTCATTATATATATATAAATTAAATATGTTTGATTTCAGGCATAATTAATATTCCTGAAATCAAAAACCTACGGCGACAAGCATTCTAAATTAAATATGTCTAATTTCAGGCATAATTAATATGCCTGAAATCAGAAACCTATGACGACAGGTGTTAAGAACGCCTGCCACCATAAGTATGTTTAATTTCAGGCATATTAATTATGCCTAAAATCAGGCAAACTTACGGCGACAAGCATTTATCACGCCTATCACCGTATGTCTGATTCAGGTATTAAATATGCCTCAAATTTGTAAAAAAATAATAATTAATTAATAATTAAAAATTTTACATAAATTTTTTTAGTTATTTAAATTTTTAATATGCCTGAATCTAGATATATTAAATGTGTCTGAATTCAAACATATTAAATTTAAACTATTAATAAAATTAGGATTATTTTAATTTTTATAAATATTTATTCATTATATATATAAAAATTAAATATATCTGATTTCAAGCATAATTAATATGCCTGAAATCAAAAACCTATTGTGAGAGGCGTTAAGAACGCCTGTTGCCATAAGTCCATTACTACATACGGCGACAGGCGTTAATGACACCTATCGCCGTATGTGTTTAATAAATTCATCCACTCGTGTTTGTCGCCCAACCCTCAGCTTTCTTACTTGCCCTCAGCTTCCTCAATCGCCCTCAGCTCCTAAAATGTCCACCACAGCTTTCATTCCCATAGCTCCCTCAGTTGCCACAGCTCCAACCCCCATTCCCCCAGCTCCCTTGTCCGCCGCAGTTCACTCCCTTTTCCCTTAACTCCCTCGTTCGCTATTAGCTCATCCGCCTATAGCTCTAGCTCCAGCTTGTCTCAGTGCCCATAGCTCCGTCGTCGCCTGCTGTCTCATTTGGCGCCAGCTAAAGTTTTTCCCCTCCTTTTTTTTGCAGTTTTTTTTTGCAATTTATTTTTTTTGCAATTTTTGTCATTTTTAGCTTAATTTTCATCCTTTTTTGCAGTTTATTTTTTATTTTTTGCAATTTATTATTTTTTTGTAATTTATGTCATTTTTTAGCTTAATTTTCATCCTTTTGCCTGGAATTTTTCATTTTTGATTTTGAAACTTGATTTTTATTTTTTTTAATTATAATTATGCATTTTTTTAATTGTAATTTTGTTAAATTTAATTATAATCCATCATGCCTTGAGTTTAATTAGTTTAAATTTTATTTTAAATCTTGGAGAATCTCTATTTATTGAGTTGTTATGCAAGCAATTTTTTTTAAATTACAAAATGTAAATTATTTGGGTGATACATTATTATTATTATTTTATTGTATGGTTAATTATACTTGATTAGTAGATAATATCGTGCATTGCATTTAGTTAGTTGAAATTGGTGATTTATTAAAAATTAATAGGCTTAATTGGAGGGTTTAGTGCCCGGGGAATCTTAATTTATAAGTCGTTATGCTGCCAAATTTTTTAAAATTTCAAATCATAAATTATTTGTTGATATTTTAATTAGGTAATGATGAACCGTGGTTGAATAGATTCTTTGCGGACAAGTGACGAATATGAGAGAGGGGTAGATCAATTTTTGGAATTTGCAAAGAATAATGCTCCTAATGATAAAGGATTGTTCTATTGTCCTTGTGTTAAATGTTTGAATGGGTTGTGACGAAGTCCTGTTGAGATTAAAGATCACTTAATTTGTTTTGGGTTCTACAAAGTATACACACAGTGGGTGTTGCATGGTGAATCTAGAAAACGTAGTGTACCAGAAGAGGTGGATGATGATATGGATTATTTTGGTGATCAAATAGAGGATATGTTATGTGATATTGGCGTTGAAGCTGTTGAGAAAGTGCACAAATATGATAGCTTGTGCAATGATTCAGAAACTCCTTTGTATTCAGGGGACCTTTATATCTACTGGTAGGAAGGATATATTGGCCACAATATTAGGGAGTGAAGATCACTCTGGCTGTGTTAGGGAGGTTCCAAAAGGCGTGGGCATAAGACAATATTTTAGATCACCACCACATCCTAATCTTGTACCAATACAACAAGTACAAATGATGATAGCAGAATGCAAATTAAGTATGATGATGGAAATGCAATCAATGATTAGCAATCTCCAGATGCAATCACAACAAGCACCGAACTATGGTGGTGTTCTAGATCCAGGGTCTGATCCTGACCTATCAGAGCAAGGAATGCCATGCATACTTTATGTGGAGAATTATGGCAAACAAGTAGTTGCATATGAAAAGGTGTATAACCATGCAACTATAGTGCACCACCAACCGATACAACATAACCAAGTAAAGGTCGCGGTTGAAGAGGTTGTGGATGCCAATGCTCCTGTGTTATTCCCTACTGAGGAGGTGTAAATAATAAGACAAACTGAGCATAATTTTATTATTTGGTTGAAAAGGCTAGCCCGATAGGTTACCAATGAGGTATAAAAAGTTATAATTTCTATATTTCTTAATTAACATTATAGATATTTCTAATTTTTATTATATATTAATAATAGGAACTCCTAAAGTCAAAAGAATCTCTGGGTTCTAATCCCCAACCGGTGTAAGATTATTTGAAACAGTTGGCTTCGGTGGTGGTTGATATGAATGAATTTTCTGATGAAATAAAAGTAAGCAAAATGATTGTTGAGAAGCCTATTACTTTCAGAGTCGCTAGAAAAGACATTAATGATCTCATTATTTTTGACTGGTTGGACTTAGTAATAATTCAAGTATTTATTATGTAAGTGTTCATTTTTATTTCTAGATTAATATTTAATATTTTTATTTTCTTGCTAACATATTTTTTATTATC